AGCACGTTTTATTTTTATTTGTTATGATAACTAATTATAAACGTATTCTCAAAGCAATCCAAGGCAAGCTTTTCTACTCGGATCGTTAAATTTTTTTTTTCCAGAAGGACGACGTACTCGTGCTGTAGAATTTTCGTGGGCGCGAAAGTTACTGTTCGTGAGAATTTGGTTTTGTTCATGATTTCTGCCACGTCCGAATTCCTTCGTGCTCCGTCGCCTTCCCTCTCTCCCGACGACAAGTGGCTACAGACGAAGCATAACGTCGACCGGCGTATCGTCAAACTGACCGACACCGACCCCTGCGTGCGTCCCAAAATCAAATTAATACTTAATTAACTAACTAACTAACTAACTAGGATTAGTTTTCATAATTAATCAGCCTTCTCAATTACATATGTCGATTATTAATTAAACTCGCCTTGTTACCCATGTAGCCCATAATCCCCGTGCCAACGCACGACACCCTCACGTTGCGCACGTGCTCAGCCAGCCCCTCACGCGCCCACACGCACAGGTAGACCCCCACCATCTGCTTGCTGGCCGCCAGGTATAACGGCCGCCGTCATCCGCTCTAAAATCCGCGCCGGCGTAGGGCTCTGCGGATGAGCGAGAGCCAGGTGGAGCGGGGCCCACGTCCTCCGCGCCAAGTACTGTGGCGGCGTTCAAGGGTACGATCTCCTGCAACCTGTTGAGCAAATATTTACTAAATGCCACTACGGCGGAGTTTTTTGAGGGGTATTGGTTAAATAAGTAGAAGTACGTGCCGATGATGTAGAGATCGGCGGGCAGGGAAGCCAGTCTCGCAGTTTGACCGGAGCTTGACCACCCACGTTCCACGTGCCAACAAACGCCCTGTAATTAATTATCCAAATTCTCATTTAATAAAACTTAAGAGATAATTAACAGCGGTTAATTAAACTAAGAATTAATCAATCAACTGATTATATACCTGAGGTTTTGTGTCGCCGGTGGGTTCAGATCACGTTGAGATGTGATGACCGACCAAGCACCGTGGCCTAAATGGATATTCAACTCAATTAATTATTATTTTTTAATGAAATGTTACTAGATTCCAAAGAGTACACTAATGCCTAAATTTTTTTTTACACTAAATGTCCATTGAGCACTAATATTTTCTGCTCAGCATACCACTAAATTTCAGAATAGGACACTACTAAAGAGAATAAAATAATAAAATTATGAATATAATTTTTAAATAAATACAACTTTTGTATCTGCCACTGATGGGACGAGAATGAACACAACCATGAATAGGATGGGCTACCTATCATTTCACCCCCATCAAGTGACAAAAGTTATTACAAATATAACAAAATATATAATTACAACCCTAATTCTAATTATTTATTGATAAGCAACAATTAATGACATGGAAATTTATTTTGCAGCCCTACCTATTGAAAGGGAGAGGGAACCAAGAGAATCTCTAGATACCAGGAAGCGATTGTCTTTGTCTGAACAGCTCTTTCTCCTGCTTATAACTCCTCTTCCTTTTTAATGAGCAAAATTTTCATTCTTAATTAATAGAGAACGAGATTAATGAATTTAATGAAGATAATAAGATACTAACTATTTGTTATTAAAAAAATAACATGCATGGATGCTTACTATAGTTGTTAGAGTCGGAGAGGAAATCAGTGGAGCTTCTCCCTATGTTCAGCCATTTCTTCACTAGTGTTTTTGGCCAACTATAAGACTGTGCCAAAAAATAAAAAAGAAGGAAAAAGAAAACATGAGATCATTTAGTTAATTAAAAAAATAAATGGATCAAAATAATCAGTAGAAAGAATCACCTTGCGATATCTACTGTTCTCAGTGCTCATTTCTTATATATAAGAAGGAAAGCACAAGCTGGTGGATGCTGCAGGAGAAATATAAACAAAAGAAATTAATAAAAACATATATATTGAAAAATTAAAATTCATAAGTTGGGTAGTCTTGAAAAAAGCCTGTATATATATATATATTGATCAGTTACCTTTGCAAACAAGAGATGATCCTCTTTTCTGTTCCCCACATCAAAAGAGAAATGAAAGAAAATTAAAGGAGGGGGAAATGAATTGAGAAAAGAAAAGATACTTCTCAGAATTAGCAGGAGTAAGCTATATCTAGAAAGAAATTGAGAGAGCTAATTGAGTGATTATTCGTTGTGGTTGTTATAGTACTTATGGCTTGCTCATGCTCTATATATCCCCTACATTGATGGAGACATCTAATAATTAATCAATTTCTTAGTTATATAATGAAGATATATAAGAGAGGAGGGAACAAGCCCTCATAGAGTAGGTTTCTTTTTATTTTATTTTACTGGAGGAGGAGGAGATTATCAAGTATAGCAGTCAAAGTTTCCCCCTATGGTTTAAGTTCCCTCCGCAGCATAGGAGGGAAAATGCTAGAGGCACACCTCCCAACTACACCCCAAACCACACTCCTCTCTCGCTACAGTGCACCGGGGCCCACATGAGAACTTTAAAAAATCTCATGTGTGCCCCAGTGCACTGTAACGAGATAGGAGTGTGGTTAGGGGTGTGACTGTAACGCCACCCGAAAAAAAAAAATTCATATTCATTTTGGCCTTCACATTTACCTGAGACAAAAATGTTGACCAATAAACACGAGTTTAGTGCGTCCCTCCATGTTTTTGGCCAATTGTACCACTAAAGTTATATATGTTAAAATCATCAATTAAAATTTGATATATTGATGACCCAAATTTGCGAAGATATTGATATATGTCATGTCAGTACCACATTAGTTGACGCATTTGTTTAGATATGCAAAATAATTGACTCATTAAAACTCTCATCCAAAAGTTGTTGGTTAATTTCATGCTGCAGAAGGTGTCAGTAACAAAAAAAAAGAAGGAAAGGAAAGGTTTAATTTCTATCATCTAGATTTACCATTCCGACGCTAAATCAATCAGCTCATTGTTGCGGGTGGACTTATTCACGGACATAAAGGGTCCATCTTGGCCGGATCCGCTTAGATCCAAAACTAGGCCACGTCAACTACTATACCCTTTAGAACGTGGGTATAGTTTGTGCTACTTTTGGGCATATATATTACCCACCCATGAGTATATGTATATATATATATATAGG